TAGTGATTGATCAACCCTAGATCGTTCAAACCCCGTTTACTCGAAAACGCTATAAGATTTTATGCTCTGTCTCCTTATTCCTATATCTATGGAGAGGAGTTGTCCGCGTCTTCTAAAGGACAGAATGGGCGCGTTCAGCAGAACAAACCGCTTAGTAGCAATCGAACGTGATTGGTTCTTACTTTCAGAACCAACTAATTAACAGTCGAGATTCAGCGGAAAATCTACAACTGTTGAGTCTGCTGAACGCGGCCAATGATACGCAGTAAGGTGCTGTCTCCGTCATTCTGCTAGTTTGGAGGGGGAACGTCGACAACGTTGAGGGGAACTTAAAAGCGCGCGCGCCATAAATTTTGCTTTTTTTGAAGATATTATACCTTCTTATTACTCTTATTACATATATAAAATACTTATTACATATATAAAATTACATATATAAAATATAATACGCGTATAAGTATAAATGCGGTACGCGCGCCTTTTAGTTCTCCTCAGCGTTGTCCATTGACGTTCCCCCTCCAGACCAGCAAAGTGACGGAGACAGCACTGCGTATCATTCTGTCCTTTAGAAGACGCGGACAACTCCTCTCACAAAACGCTGGGTCTATTTATATATAAGTCTATGGCCAAATTTCCCCAACGAGCGAATGGGCCTTCGAGAATAGTGCATAAGAGGCCCCAAATTACGGATGCGCGTTCAGACAAGTGAAAGAGATCAGACTTGGTTATTTCGAGTGTGAGTGATTTCTGGCCGGTGATTAAGGGACTTCGTCTAGGAAAGCTCCGTTTGAAGCAAAGAAGGACTTTTGCACAATCACAATTATCTGGCAATAAGAAACTTTTGCAGAAATCATACTTTACTGGCAATAAGGAATTTGCCTAATAAAGGACTATCACCAAAAGGGCCGTTATAAAATTGGATACGTGTCACTGGAAGGCGCAGATGCTAAGCTAAGTGCTAGCGGTAAGTTCAACAATCCTTTGTTTTATTGCTCAACATTTAATTTACTTAAGTACTCGGAAGTAGAATCCGGCCATTTTGAACAAATTTTATTTCTTGAATTTTTTTGTAATCTACATCACCTTATCTTACCCCTTACACTATTTTACCCTTACACTACCTTACTTCTATCTACACCGAAGGATGATCTTGCTTGTGGCTCATCCTTTCGCCTTCAGTATGCTTTTTAATGTGTTTCAATGTGTTTCAATGTGTTTCAATGTGTTTCAATGCGTCTACATAGTAATGTAGTCCCGCTCTGATCCGCCACAAGCAGGTTGATTCTGCGGTCGATTCTTCGATCGATTCTTCGATCGATCCTTCGGTCGATCCTTCGGTCGATCCTTCAGTCGATCCTTCGGTCAGATAGGGCATTACACATAATAATGATACTAGATGGCGTTACCATACAAAATACTTGAATGTGACGGACGACACAAAAATAATAAGTTATAAAATATTAATTAATAAAAATATTAAATTAATTAATAAAATATAACTTGGTAATTTTTATACATATATATTTTTCATTTTTAATGTTTATGGTTTTAGATTTACGAATAATTTTACATCTACTTTAAATTAAAACAACTAAAAGTTAAAAAAATCTATAAATTTTAAACTAAAATAAAGATATAGTATGTTAAATACTTATATTACATTATATAAAGTTATATATATCATTAAAAAAATTAATATATTTGTTACTTCCACTTTTTTAGAGTTATTTAGAAAAGGATAAAAGAAATCGTAAGGCAATGTGATATCTAAATTAGATCCCCCGACAAAACGGTATTTGGACGGCTTAGAAACATCATGAAAATTGACATAAGAAATAATATCCACGTGGAGGACATCTGTGCAATTTTTTAATGTGCATTTTGGCCAACTAATATCCTCTTCTTTGCTGAACGTAATGCCAATGCCCAATATTTTATAATTGGTCACAGTTTTAGGCTTCGATAATGTTGAATAAATGACATCCAAGTGCATGGACGTAATCAATCCTGAACACAGGATTTCTTTTCCAATTGTATGTGCAGTCACAACACTTTGTGGTATTCTATCGTATGCGATGCGCAACCAGTCAGTCGTATATTTGCTGGTGAAATTACCCTGCTTGGAAACATAATACCGGCTCACATTTAGCACGGAATCTTTTATTAAGAAACTCATAGTCAGATTTTGCAATTTTGCGCAAGACAATGCGGTAAAATTTTTGACGAACAATCTAGCGGAGCATCTTAGCTTAATATCTTCACCGAATGCAATGATATGTCTGTCGACTTGGTCGCACTCTCCATTTTTCTTAGCCAAGGGTAATGTGAGAAATCCATTAGTTCTGTTGAAAAGAATTTCATCACTTCCATTGGCACGAGGAGCGCCGACAATAATTGGTTTGCCTGTCACATAGCCAGGATTTCCACTCCGAGCAAAAACTTTTGTTTTATTCGAATCTGTCCAATCGTATTGGACTTCAAAATATTGATGAAATGCATGAGAAGCATTGCCCATATTAAAATACGCATCGATACTATTGATACCAGCAGAACCATTGTGACTGATTACATATTTTAAACCCTTTACGATGTTAACGCAGGTAGAGTTTGCGCAAAAGCTTGGTATCCTGGTTTCATTGCATGCAGAAAATGAATTCAAACAGTAATGAGGTTTCACTGTTAAACAGACGTTGCTTGGACATGCCTAAAAAATAATTTCCGAAATTAGAAAAAGCAATAACTTTTTTCGCAAACATAAATGAAAAAAGACTTTATGCAAGAAATATTCGTTGTTATATCCACACATATTTTTTTAATTATAAAACTATACCTGTTTTGCAATCAATGTCTCATTAAATAACGGCAACGAGCTAATAACGGTAAAGTTACTGAACGTCATAGTGTACAGATATCGATTAACGTCTGTTAATTCATTTTGTATACATGTGCCTTTCCAATTTTCCAAATATTTCAAAGTCTTTTTAAACGAGCAAACTCCAGTAAATCCAGATTGTAAAAACTCTAAAATAATATGTTAGTAATTTGCGAATAATCCATTTACTTATTTAACTATCTTTTTATTTGTAAGTGCTATTTTTATAATTTTACCTATTGATTCAATGGATTTGTTACTTAATTTCCACAATAAATCGCCATGCTGATAATATTTAGACAAATTATACTTTGGCGATATTTCGCCACTTTCTATTCTCCATTTGTATTTTTTTATTTCTAACACTTTCCACAGATCTTTCTCATTTTGTAGCATCTAAAATAAACAATATTGAATAGTAATTTATTCATATATTTTTTTCTCATTTAAATTAACATAAATACATTTACTTACCAAGTCGTTGTCAATGCTATATGTAGATGGAATATTGTCATACACGACGCAGAATAAATTATTTCCAAGTTTTTCAAGAATAAAAGGTGTATTATTTCGTTGTATGAAATTTCGATTGTAGCAGTACCGACTATCGTAAAGCTTCACATGATGATCTTGACAATGTGAAAAGGCAGATAGATGAAATTGATTGCAATCCATGTCGCAGCAGCAATTGATATCACAGGAAAATTTCTGTACAAAACAAAATTCTTTCATTTACTTGATAACCCAATATTTTATATCAATCGATGTTAAATGTACACGTACAGTCAAATCACATTCGCATATTTCTCTTCTTTCGAGTGTGAGAATTTTATCATTATTTGGAGGCATAGTGATAGTTGGTGAGGATATTGTTGAAGTTGACTGCGGTTCCGATTGCTCTGTTACATTGGAATTTGTTCTTGAAGATGTTGTTTCTGTAGGAATGGTAGTGTATAAATTATCCTCTTCTGTATCGTTTAACGAATCTTTTGAAACTGGATTGTCAACGTTAGGACTTTGAGTATATATAGTGGAATCTATTGATTCGCTGCAATCTGTATCATTTACACAGATGAGTTCATCTTCAGTTTTTGTTACATATACCACATTGGTATACGCTAGAAATAGCAGTAACGAGAAAAACATTGCTGCAGAACAATTGATGTTGATTAAATATTATATTATCACAAAATGAGATCTTTTTTACATAAAATAATACTTTTGGTATTCTCAATTATTTTTAAAGTTTCGCTTTTCGTAGTGAAAACTGTTATAGACAGCTTACATAATTGGTATTGTCTTTACAATTGTCCGCAATCGTTCACAACTGACATCCAAATTTGTCAAAATTTTTTGCCAAGATATGCAAGTGAACGATCACTGTTCCCATACTTTGTGTAAGTATTTCGAATCTATCTACTGTGTTGATTAAAACGCTTGGTGATTTTAATTGTAAAGTTTTCCCTAAAAATTTGTCATATAGTTTGTCTTTCCAATTGCCTGCAAAACAAATTGTTAGCAAAAGAATATAATAATATAAATTTTATCGTAAACTTAAATTATGTATTACCAATAGGTTTCCATGTGTGACATTCTAAAGTATGAAAACCGGGTGACAATGGAACACTGGATACTCCGTACGAAAGAAATAATATCCTCCCGTAATTATCTCTGCAAAATATTTGCAGCAATAGTTTCGGAGAGTTTTGTAAAGTCTGAGTTGTGTAATGCAAGTCTATAGGATGATCCCAGACTGGATTATTAGTATAGAGATCGCAACTCTCTTGCGTTTGTCCTTCTTCATGCCCTGATATAATTTTCCAACCATTACCTACGACAGCAATAAAAATTTATTTACATCTAAATCTATTTTACTGGTAAAAAAAAGAAAAAACGTGAATTTTCTCCTACCAACATAAAAGTTCCATTTGCAAAGCAAACGTGGTTGTTTAAAATCCTTCGCTGATGAAACTTGGCCAATTATATGCAACTCGGCCATGCCACAAAATCATGCAACGTGTAAAATATGTAAAACATAATACTTATTTAGAATATATATCTGCTTACTCAGATTTTATCAAAAGAACAATCATCTACAGATCTGGTAAAAAAAAAACTATAGGTTAGTTATAAAATCTTCACTTTTAAAATGTCATTCCACTACTATGTCTACTGTTATGCAAAAATAATTGCAAAATTGTAAAAGATATGCAATACAATTGCAATACAATTACAATAAATATTGTAATAGCATATTTTTTCGATACAAGTAAAAATTAAATCAATACAAAACAGTTTAAAATCAATGCAAAATAAACAACAATGTTTCCATGCCTCTAAAAATTCAAGCTACGTTTTTGTTTTTTAGTTACAATTAAGTTAACGGATCACGGAGAAAGATAAATTGAAAGATAAATTAAAAATTGATTTACTTACTTTGATTATTCATGGGCGATAACATATTTATGTTACATTTTGTGTGAACTATACCGAATACTCTTTTTTCAATAACATAAGACTTTAATGAGAATTGCAAATAAAAAAAAGAAGATTTCCAAACAAAATGCTTAAAATCTTACAATCCACAACCGATAGCGGCTAATACTGAACGATGCACTTCAATGTTGTCGGACGTGTTGCTATGACAACAAATTAAAGGGGTGCGTGAACGTAAGATATAAATGGACCGGATATTGCAAATGTGCAGGATGTGGATAACAAACGCAAAGGGAGGGGAGGGAAAAAAGACAAAAAAACATAAAAATATTACATATTGCTGACACAAACGATTATCAATCGTGCTTCATTTGATAAACGTGGATTTGCGTAGTAGGTTTTTTGCTAGCACAGCTATAACAGTTTCTATAAAAAGCACTATTTATTTTAAAATGCTAATCAGCTCACTTGGTTCTTTGCTATTAAATAGAACGTTAATTAAATTAAAATGTTCTAACTTTACAAGCTGCTAATATTATACTGTCTGCGAGTGTAGCTCTTTTTGAGCGCAAAAAGATTTCAAATAATTTTAAAGATTATGTTTGTAGAACTATATGTTATTTGCAATAATAACATATTACGCAATATCAACATTTTATGAAGAAATTTAATTCAATTTTTCTCTCTTTCTACAAACATTAAGCAATATCTATACAAATTAAAAAAAATTTAATATAATAATTCTTCAAATTTATAGTGAATCGCATATTTCTATACAATAAAGGATTATCAAATGTAAGCTTCTTTAGCAAAGTAATCGAAATATGTAATGCAAAGCTGAATAAAATGTGCAATTTTCGGCTGATGTATATTATAGCTTAAAACTGCCATCACGTTTAATTATGATGCCAAAAAATCGCAGAAATTTTACGATCTATTTATAATCTCAAATAATGTACGGTATATGAAAAGGATTAAGTTAGCAAAGGTCAATATAGTAATGTTGATTCAATTTAATTATATTTCACTCAAAAACTATGTCATGAAGAGCGCAGTATGCGTTATTTTATTTTATTTTCTGAAAAAAATACACACTGACTTAAATGGCAAACATGTCATAGTTTTCGCCTAACTTTATTTTTCTCGTTTCTGCCGCTACTTAATTGTAACTTTTGTGTTCTCCCTTTCTCTCGCTCTCTCTCTCTCTCTCTCTCTCTCTTCCTCTCCATTTCATTCTCTCTCACTCACGCAGTCATTCACTCGACATTACTACTTCTCTTTCCTCAGTCAGATCGTTCAACTGTTATATGCTTAAAGTTTAGTTAATGATATTCATTAACCAAATCGCTTTTAGTTAATGATTGTTAAGATTATTGTAGATTATTAATTAGTAATCGTTAGATACAATATAATTGATGTACACATGCATCGTTGCGTGTCTATAATGGAGAATGCATGAATACCTGGATCCTTGGATTCGAACATTTACATAGGACAAAGAAAAGTCTTAGACATTTGCGTTAAGTTCTTCATGAACTTTGAGATCCTTAAAAGATCCTTCATTCTTGTGTTCTGAAATTTGTAAGTATAAATATCCGTATGTTTCGAGATCCGTGAATTTATTAGGTCCATGAATTTCTATAGGTCCTTATTGGATTATTAAATATTCGGCTCTTTAAATAATTGAAATCTCAAATCCTTGGATCCTTGTATTCTTAGATCCTTGGATCCACGGATCCTATGATTTTCAGTTCCAGTAAGTTTTGCGTTTCATCCTCTTTTTGTTTTTACATTCTTCGTGTTCCTTCTCCGATTGGGAATAAGTATGTACATTATTCGTATAATTCATACTACATGCCATTCTTACTTGTTCAAGCATGTCCGTCGCACATTGCGTTTTTCTTACGTGTGTGACATATCATTTCACAACTCAGTCTATACATGCGTGCGTGCGCGCACGTTGTGTGTGTGTGTGTGTGTGTATGTGTATTTTATGTGTGAATGTTTCCGTGTATGTGTGTAAAAGTATCATGTGCATATATCATCTTTATGTATACATATGTATAAAACGCTTCAAATAGAAATAATATTTGCCGATTAAATAGTTCGGGCAAAAACATTTCGTTACTTTTTTTTTTCTTAAAACGTACAACAATAATTCAGTCTAATACATTCCAAAGCACCAATTTATAATTAGTCGACCATAAATTCATACATATTTAAAAATTCCGCCATACCGAAGCATATCAATAAATTTTAACTTTTCGCTTACTTTTCACTAAACAGACTAAAATTGAATTGCACTTAATGCAAATAGAAGTCATGCGAAAGTCCACAAAGAATTTTTCTTCTCGACCTTTCCGACTTCGTCCGAATCTTTCCGTATGCAAAATGACATTTTTAAATAAACGCACTCTCGAATCCAATGAAAGGATATATCAAAGATTTGTGATACTACGGACTTTCCGCAGCAGGAATTTACGATGCCAAGGATTATACAGTGTCAAGAATTTTTAGTAATCATGGATACGCGATTATATACGAAGAAAGATTTAATCAACAAGTTCGGATGTCGAGGATCTGAAATTAGGAGTTAGCGACTATTCAAAATCTGTGCGTTCGTGTGTTTCGTTTTTTCAAGTGTATGTGCGTGCGCTTGTATCATTGTGTCCCCCCCTGTGAGTATAAACGTGAATGTTAAGTGAAAGTACTAGTAGTAATAGCGGTAATAGTAATAATAGTAATAGTAGTAGCGGTAGTATCAATAATAACAGTATGCAATGGTACTTGTACCTGCGATAGAGTCTAGATTAGTGTAGTAATAGTAGTAGTTGTCGTAGTTAATAATAATAGTAATAAGTCTTGTGCAAGCAACAAATGACGTTTGCATTGCTGACACCGAATCACGCGAACCATTTTTTACGGCAATTTTTGGAAGTTAGCCGATAATTTGCGACACAGACACTTGCCAAGTGCAAAGATTTTAGTGCGAAGAAAGCGACCGAAGTTTCTTGAATCTCGGGTTCTCTTGGGCTCTGGGATTTCTTGGATCCTAGACGCCTCGAATCTTCATCGCGAATCGAAGGAATTGAAACAATATAAGAAGACATACTAAATTACATATAGACGAAAGTCAAGCCGTCACTTCTTCGTTCTCTTTGCAAAATTACTTCTCTCATACCTATTTGGAAAAAATTTGTTCTAAAGAGACGTCTTTTCCATTGGTAATAAAATCTATAAATAAATTTTCGGAGTGTCATTTTTGTCATGCTATTACCTCAAGACCTTCAATCGCGATTTTTTCCAATAGACAGACGGATAGACACCGGGACACGACGCGCAAAAGTGTTTAGTGTACTTAACTGACGAACGCATGTTTGTGTGTGTGTACGAGTGTGAATACATCCACATACTGAATATACATATATGGACGTATTGTAGCTTTTAAAAAAACACAGAAACTCGATTCTACACTTGGCAGTATTGTGAACAATCGCCCGACAGGCGTTTAATTGTTTCTCCTTATCATACTCGCTTTGTCTTTTGTCTCGTGCGGTTCTTAAATCTCGAAAAAGACGACAACATCTCAACAAGACGAGAGTGACGTAGACGGTGAACGTCCTTGGCAGTGATCGTAGAATTGCATATTCGTTTTTGTCGTTTCCTTATGCATTCGCTTCTTTTCGGTCATTTTCGATTCGCAATGTTTAATGTGTTTCGTGTCATGTGACTTAACAATCTTGTTTTGCAACTAAGCAGCATGTAACGTTACAAGCATTGCTAAGTTTGAGAAAAGTAAATTATAAATAAAGCAGCGAGATTAGCTGAAACGCGTTGTTATTATATAAAATATGTCGTAACTGGAATTTCTAGATCCTTGGATTGTTAACTTTTTGAATTAAAGAACTCATTTCATTGAGTCCCAGAGTCCTTGGCTCTTTAAATTCTTAGATTTTTAGAGTTTGAAATTCTTTTAATTAATTTTGAGATCCTTAAAATATATCAATTCTTTCTACTCTTGATTTCTTACATTTGTTGGATTTTGAATGATAAAAATAATTTGTTTACAATATTATTTTGAAATAGTAAACGAGTAAAGAATAATTACTCAACGATCAATTTGTCGATAAATTAAAAATAGACGTTAAAATATTAAATAGAGGAATTATTTTCACTTGTGTGAATTTTATTTTAATTTATTTTGAATTTCAATTTCTCAATAAAATGAGTTTGCTGCTATTCGACACATATTTTCACGATATAAGTGATTCCACACGTTGTTACATCGAAATTTTTCGGAGATTTTAGATTTAGAACATAGATACAAAAGAATAAAAACTCATCTGCGAATCCAAGGGATTAAAAATCCGAGAATTTTGGAATCCAAGAATCTAAGAATTCGAATGTCAAGAATTGAAAACTTTGCGAATGCGGAGCCTAAAAATCCAAAGATCCAGGTATCCAAGAATTATTCGTCATCGTCTTTATCCTTTAGTTTTAACGATTAGAGACTAAGTGTTTTCTCGTGTTAGCATATTCTGTTATGATTTCTGGGAACTATAAGGATTTCTTCCATAAACTCTTATTTAACTCTGCATCAATCCTCATTTCATAATTATTTTTTTTAATGTTCTATCAACTATAGCCACCTTTAATAATCCACTTTCGCAGTCTCTCTATTTCTTACGTGTTTTCTCCCACCTATCCCTCTCTTTTTCTCTTTCACTCTCTCCCTCTCTCTCTCGCTTTATCTCTATCTCTATCTTCATCGTTCTAATAATAACACGGCAAACTCGCGTGATTTCACTCACGGTTTTTACAGCGAGTTCGTTTCTTCTTTCATTAAAAGATTAAGACGGACGGTTAAATTTCATGTATTTTTCTTCATTTTTTGTTTCTGTTTGTTGGTGAGCCGATGTCCGCTGCTGAAGGCACAAGGCTTTGCACTAGAACTCGGTCACCTACCCTAGCTCACTTCATCTACGACCTACTACCAAACTAGCATCGCGTTCTTATGGGAATCTGTTTAAACCTCGAGCGAGAGCACACATAATGCGCTTGATTAACTAATGTAAAAATATCTCGATATGTTCGACGAAAGTAATTTAAACAATTTTTTTAAAATTATGCTTTCAGATTATGCATTTCGTTATTGCAATTCTCTTACATAATCAAAGATATTCACAGAATTAAAAAGACTAACATTTTAAAATATTATACAAATATAACATACGTTTTAACGATGATACTGATATATGATTACTTTAAAAATAGCAATCGCTCGAGAATTAAGTCAATTCAACGAGTTTTCTCACTTTCGTTCTACGTGCTACTGCTTTTTCTAGACAATCGATCGACATGCCGTCTCGCTCGATTACTTTCGGTGCTTCCATCAGTTTGGAACGAAAGGTGATCGATTCATCTCAAGCGTATCATGTATCATTCGTCGTTCCTTAACTATCTTATAAAATTTAATCTTCGATCGTTTAACGAATAGAGGAAGCCGACTTTAAATTTCAGCTTACTCGATTGAAAATTGTAGCGCAAATAATGAACACCAGTACAAACAATTCTCAATATTTTTATTCCTTGGACTCGTCGAGTCTGAGATTTTCAATTTTTTTTCGGATTCTTTGTATATTTTCAGATAGTTATATAGAATAGATAATAACGATGTAACAATTGCGATTACAATATCACTCGCTGTACAATTTTCGACTCGATAAACAAATTCAAAGTTGATTTACTCTATTTACTTAAAATATATATATGTACTTTTTTTTCTTAATAAAAAAAATATTATGTCTTGCATGCATTTCTGCTTGAGAACAGTTCAATCGGAGTGTCCTATACCAGTTGTCCCAAAAAAGACATCAGTATTCTTCATGAATATCATTTCCTCGCACACCTTTGCAGGACGCCCCATACATTTCCCTTTTATTTATTAAAAACACGCATTTCTTGTAAAAATTTCTGCATTAACAGGATATAAAAAAAGAAGACATAGCGTACAACATGAACGTGCTACTTTGCCTCCTGTATTAACTATTTATGAACACTATATTTTTTAAGAAAGTAATATGCAATAAAAAATTCCTGCTTTTCATGACATATAAGCAACACGTTATATACACAGGGTACTGTGCATTCCTTAAAAAATATATACCTTTCACGAAAATAATTTTATCCCTTCAGCCCTTTCCCTCCGTTAGGGACGCCCTGTACATTTTCATGGTCTTTCTTTTGTTTTTTGTTGTATTAATAAGAAAGAATATTAATACATAATTCCAAGACGCGCTATCCTGCTGCGGTATAGATCCTTTCCAATCTTTTGACTCACTAACTTTCCGACTTTCGTTCCAGTCTCTCGCTCTCTCGCTCTCTCTCTCTCTCTCT